TACATGTGTGTGTATGTATATATATATATATATATAACACATTTAGATTTTCATATCCTAGCTATTGTAATTAAGGATGCAATGAACACAGAGGTGCTTTTATTTCTTTAAGTCAGTGTTTTTATTTTCTTTGGATAAATACCCATAAATAGTATTGCTGGGTCATATGATACTTCTATTTTAAATCTTTCAGGAAGCCTCCATATTGTTTTCCATAATGACTACGCTAATTTACATTCCCTACCAACAGTGCATGAGAGTTCCTTTTTCCTCACCTCCTCACCAACACTTGTTATTTCTTTTCTTTTTGATAATAGCCTTTCTAACAGCCATTTTTTTTTTGATAATAGCCATTCTAACAGGTGTAAGCTGATCTCTCTTTGTGGTTTGATTTGTATTTCCCTGATGATTAGTGATATTGAGCACTCTTTCAGGCTCCTGTTGGGTATGTGTATATCTTCTGTAGAAAAATGTCTATTCAGATCCTTTGTTCATTTTTAAATTGGATTATTTGCCTTTTTTGCTATTGAGTTGTAGGAATTCTTTATGTATTTTGAATATAAACCTTTATCAGATATATGACTTGCAAATATTTTCTCCCATTTGGTAAGTTGCCTTTTCATTTTGTTGATTGTTTCCTTTACTGTATAGGGGCTTTTTATATATTTATTTATTTTTATTTTTTTGTTTGTACAGGAGCTTTTAAGTTTGAGATTGTCCCACTTGTTTATTTTTGCTTTTGTTGCCTTTGCTTTTGTTGTTAAATAGAAAAAATCTTCAGGATCAGTGTCAAGTTGCTTATTGCCATGTTTTCTTTCAGGGTTTTTATGGTTTTACATCTTATATTCAAGTCTTAGGTCAATTTTGAGTTGATTTTGTATGTATGATGTAAGATAATGGTCCAGTTTTATTCTTTTGCATGTGGATGTTCAGTTTTTCCAACACTATTTATTGAAGACTGTTCCCCAGTGGATATTACTGGTTGCTTTGTCATAAGTTAAAGCACAAACTCTAGTAGAAATGATTTACACATTTGGCCCAGTAAAATTCAAATTTATATTAAAAAAAACTGTAATGAAAGTAAATATACACGCTAAGACTAGAAGTTATTTGAAACATGAATAAATAACAAAAGATTAGAATCCAAAATACCTAGAGAGCTTAGATACCAATTTAGGTTAAAAGAAGTCATTAGAAAAATATGCAAAAACTTATATTAACAATCCAGAGAAAAGGATATATGAATGATACACAATAATGATCAATAAATAATAAAAACAGACAACCTCCTCTGTTATCAAGGAAATGGAAATCAAATTTTTATATCCCATCAGATTGATGGAAACATAAGTGAATAAACATTATTTAATTTTTTTTCTTTTTATTTTATTTTATTTATGATAGTCATACAGAGAGAGAGAGAGGCAGAGACACAGGCAGAGGGAGAAGCAGGCTCCATGCACCGGGAGCCTGACGTGGGATTCGATCCCGGGTCTCCAGGATCGCGCCCTGGGCCAAAGGCAGGCGCCAAACCGCTGCGCCACCCAGGGATCCCTAAACATTATTTAAATTGATATGTACAGAAAGTTCATGAAATATGAACATACAATTTGAATATTATTGTAAAAGTAACCTGTATAACCATCACCTAACTCCAGATGCCTCCGTATACCTCTCACAGATCACAGTACTCTTGCTTTCCACTGGTAATAACTACGACTTTGAGTTTTGACAGCACTTGCTGATTTTCTGAGGGGGGAATAACCATTACTTATGCAGTATTTTCTGGTTTCCATGGAATAAGTACTCTTATCGTGGCAGATTTCAAGTAACCAGCACATCAACTGACTCACTGAACTCCTGAAAATTTAACAGCAGCTCTTGTGAGCATGTGTGAACCCACTCCAGCACTCAACTGCCATTTCTTTAATTTCTTCGCTCTTTCTTTCTTTTAATTCCTTTTTAAAAAAAGTTTTACTACCTAAATAAGCATCCTCAAATAGTTTGTATTAGTTGATTCTCATAACATCAATGTTATATTACTTAATTCAGTTGGTTTTGAAGACTTCCTGTATTCTGGAAGAGTTTGAATAGCATTGGGATTATCTTCTTTTTAAAGGTTTAGTGAATTCCTCTGTGACACTACCAGGATTTACTGATTTTTTTTACTAACTTTCTCTTTAACACCCTTATTTATTTCTTCCATGGAAATCAGACTCTATAGATAATTTTTCAAAATCTCCTCTCTGATCAGCACTGGTAAATTATATTTTCCTAGGAAGTTACATCCTCCAGGTCCTCAAATTTATTTATGTGTATTGAAGAAAGCAGTTTTATGATGCTTTTTAATGTTCTGTTTTCTAAGGTTATTTCAGTATTACCTTTTTTACTTTTAAATATTTGTTTTCTCCTATTTTTTCTTGATAGCAATCTAAGTATATTTCTTTTTTTATATAAATTTATTTTTTATTGGTGTTCAATTTGTCAACATATAGAATAACACCCAGTGCTCATCCCTTCAAGTGTGCACCTCAGTGCCCGTCACCCAGTCACCCCCACCCTAGGTATATTTCTTTACATCACTTTGTCTTTTTTGGGGGGAGCCATTCTAGATTTATTTCCAGTGTTTCATTATTCTCTAAATCATTAATCTGTTCTTGAAATTTTATTAGTTTTTTTCTACTTCTTTCTAAATTCTTGAGTCAGATAATTATTGTTTTCATTATTTCTAATACATTGATGTTTGTAATGAAAGCCATTTGTTTTTCTCTGTGATCACTACTTCAGCATTCTTATAAGAATGAAACATATATAGTAAAAAGAGTAAAGAGTACTGAATTGTAATACAGGACACAGAGATCCCAACCTAATTCTCTTTTTGTGTATCACTCTCTGCCAATATCTTCATGGGCACAACACTTAGCCTTTCTCCTCCAGTTTCCATTTCCTTAACTAGAAAATAAGGAAATGATCTCAAAACTTCTATTTTGCTGTTTCATTTAATGAAATACATTCCTATCACCAACTTGCCACTTCAGGAATTAGAACGGAATCTACTAAATGAACTCTAATCTCAAAATTTTTTTAAAAAGATGTCCTTAGTTTGCCTCTTCTGTGTAATCACAAAAGACATGATTCTAATCATTCTTTGGCTACAATCTGGGAATCTGAGGCTCAGGTAAATGTAGATCTTATAAGTGTTCTTTACTAACTGCACATATTATGTCATAATCAATCGACAGTTGAAAGTTATATAAAGTTCACAAGGAATTGTTTTCCCAGATCCTTTGAAATTCTTGAAATAAATAAACATACCTGATTGTTGATAATAAAAAGTAGGCAGCATGTACCATTTTGTGAATGGGTTAAGATGATGCAAAAAGTAACAAATGTTATGTCATAGTAAAAGTGTAAGAAACATTTTAAGGTGTGGAAGTCATGGAAGAATGTGTAATAATGACAACAGTACAAAACATTGACAGATTCTGCATCTAAACTTTCCTTAAGAAACCAAGGAAAAGGTTATTTAGAGATAATTTAAAAAATGTTAGAAAATGGGAGCCAGATTGTCAAAGAATCTTATCCACATTACATAAAATTTGCATGTGAAATCCCTGTCATATTTAAAAATCTAAGTAGTAACTTAAAAAAAAAATCAATGTCCTTTGTGGAAGAATTAATGTTACCATAGTAAAATGAAATATCTTAAGTTTTGAACTTACCAGTATGTGTGATTAAACATTGACATGAATACAACATAATTTTGTTTCTGCTATGAATGTAAAAAAAAATACCAGAAGGGAAATTGGGAGGGAAACTGAACAAAATGCCCTTCATTTATATTTATTCTCTGAAGCCATTTGAAGTCTCCCATTTTATAAAATGTTGTTATATAACAATGGCAGTCATTGCCCACTCTGTATATCCCTGCATGTTCTAAATAAATCGCTTCTGAGTAGTTTTCCTCCGCATCTCACCACATTTTCTAACTATAGGAATGTAATTTTGCAGCCTTAAAAAAATGCATTGATTTTTAGATGTACATACGGAGGGCAGAATGAGTAACAATTCCAAAAAAAAAAAAAAAGGAATAAATTTATTGTTTTATTTATCTCTCAGAAAAGAGAAAGAAAAGTTACATGCTACATTTTGTTTAAGGATTTACGATGCAGTATAGTTTCCTTTTCTTTTATAATGAATATTTAAAATACATGTAATATTAAATGGTCCACCAAATTGAAAACCTTACGTGAAAACATGGGACAATGGTTTGGAAGCATAAAGTCATCTACTGTCACAGTGTTTTGTGTGTTCCTTCATAAGACAGTATCAGAAACCTACAAGCCAATAAAAGTGAAGGCTCAAAAAATTTGTGAGATTTTTGCTGAATGGTTCCCAGTCATGTGCAAGAGATTATTGCTTTTCAAAGTGTCAAAGTAGACTTAAAAATATGATTAATACAATATAGTGCTGGACATGGTATGAAAGACAATGCACGTGCATTTGTTTCAGTTCACTCTGATTTAAATGTAGAACTTACAGTATGACCTTTATCAAACTTAGATGAGTTAATAATTTTTAGTTCATTTTTCTCTCCTCTAAAATGGGAATAATGATGCTTACTTGCTAGGGTTGTAATGAACACAAATGAAGTAGTATATATAATAGCACAGACACACGGCAAGTATTTAAATATTAAATTCCTATTGCCCTTGTAGTGATCATCTTTTTTTAATGAACCACTGTTTAAAAATAAAGAAATTAATGTAAAGAATAAAATACGAGCATCCACTTCAAAATAGGAAAAATATTCCCTAAAAGTGAATGGAGGTAGACTATTAACATGGAAATTGAAGTGAATCTAGAAAACATTCAAAATTCCTCTAATGTGGCCACAGCAAAATCAAATATAAAAGCAAAGTTCTAGACAAACAATATGGTAGTTTTGTTTATTTCATCTCAACAGTGGATTTCTAATTATGTGGTATATGTTGTTTCAGAGGCAAAGGGCCATTGAAAAATACATCTGATGTTATTAATGCTGCCAAGAAAATTGCCGAAGCAGGTTCTCGAATGGACAAATTAGCCCGTGCTGTGGCTGATCAGGTAATATTAGAGGGAAGAGCAAGCACATGCTGTGCATTATCATTAATTAGCACTTGGGTTCTGTAATAGGTTTTATGTACCCTATAAAATGCCTCTGAAAGATAAATTGTAATCACTAACATATTACAAACAGTCCTCTAAGTCTGTTGAGACTGAGCTTGTGGCAAAAGTAGATTCAACTTGGGAGGGGCTCATTTCAGCTCAAGACCAAAATTTTGAGAAATCAGAGTACTCACTATTTAAGAGACATTACTCCCAAAGAATGAATTATGCTGGCTGCCCTCATTCAGCAAGTCAAGTGCTTAAGGAGGAAGACAAAAAGAACTTTAATTTCTGTTATTTCATATTGATCTTATTGTACTGATGCTCTTTATAATTCATAATAATTAATGCACTAACATAAATGGGATTAATCCACATAATCAAAACTTCCAGATTTCATTTTAATCTGGATTTAAAGGAATCACAGATAAATGAAATTCTATTTCTTTTCAGACTGAAATCAGATACATGTTAAAGTAGTTCTCAATCTCACCTTGAATATTTGAATTTATTTCTACACTTTTCATGTTATTGTGGCTTAAATTGGAACTCTAAAATCCTGTTCTAAATGGCTTGTTGCAATAATGTTCCATTCCTTATAAGGGTACTTTAGGCAGTAGACTTTTACAGGTAAGTAACAGTGGTTTACAATTTGAACCGTTTTAAAAGGAAAATGTCTTAAAATATAAAATAAGATTCTGAAATAGAAAGTATTACTCAAGCTATTATTTACATGGACACAACACTCTTAGCATGAACTTGCTTACTAGCCTGCAATGCAGTGATGCTCTCTGGAGACACCAGGAGACATAGGATGTTCCTTCTCCGTAGATGGCCCTACTTTCCTATGATTTTTGAGTTGCTTCTCATCATTTTCTTCCTTCATTCCTTAATATTCAGCTGTTCTCATAAATATTTGCTGTCTTTAACATCCCAGATTCTAGAGTCCTTTAGGTCAATACCAAATTCACTCATCTTCTTAATACCAAAAATAAAAATACATGATTAAACCATTAAATTTACATTTAAAATAAGCCAACAGACAGTCTCGTTTTAATTTTTTTACGTCTGATGGCTAATCCAAGGGAATGTTTTTTTGCTTCCTTTTAAATTTTTGAGAAATGATAGTAAAGATAATATATTAAATATTACCATCATTTGACTATCCCCTAAAAATTTGTGCAGGGTGAAGACCAAATTGTTACTAAGTTGCTAATTTCAGGGCAGTGTCAACTGCCAGGCTTCCTGCAGTTTGCAGCATAAATTGAGCTGCTTTATACAGAGTTCCGTATGTATCCCAGAAAGTTCATGAAAAAGAGAGGAGAGACAGTAAATGTACTTGAAAATATGCATGTATGTATGCAAACAAACAAAAAATACACCAGGCAGGAAAGAATGTCACAGTTTTTCACTGCAGATATTGAGGGCACTTTGGATGAGTGGAGTGAGGAGAAATTGGTGGTGGTTCTGAAAAGAGTTTTGTGAGGAAGGACTTCTTCCCAAAAGGGAAAGTAGATGGAGTTTGGATGGCTTTTCCATTAAACTCTGAATCTCAGTCACTGAAACTGTTTCTTAGTATGTTGAGGCTCCTTGAGTTCAATATTTTTTATTGTGATTTTTGTTTTTGCTTTTACATTCTTAGACCCTTATTTCCAACGATTATGCAACTTGAATCCTAGCCCAAAACAGTTTTGCTATCTGGAAAGCACACCACCCGTGCACACAAACAAATCCCAGGATTCTGGATGTATTTTGAAATTAAATGACAAAGTATTTAAATGCTACTCTATGATGACTTTTAAAATAAACATATGAGGGTTAAATATAACCCTTTCTTTGTGGCATTCTCCTTGTCATCAGCTGTGAAGCGACTTGCAATTTTTGCTAATGTTTTGTCTGAATAGGACTCCTCTTTCTCAAAATCTGCACCTATTTCCATGATACAAAAATTATTTTTCTTGGTCTATCATGCTTTTATGTGTGTTTTAAATAATAGAAGAGAATGAGCATTAGCAAGGAGTGGATTTGCTGCCTTTATTTTGCCCTGAAAATATTTTTATGAAGATTTGATATACGCAAGCAATATAAACTTTTTACGGACTGTTGCATTTTTAATTACTCTTCCATTGAGATAGAACTTCCAGTTTAATTTGCTGCAAGGTATTTGTATCGAAAGCCTTGTCAGCCCTCTAGGGAGATATCATTTTAAAGTTAATTCCTTTCAGTACATGGGTCTCTGGAGTAGGATAAATATTACAGTATTAAGTACTCGTAGAAAGCTAAAAATAGTCTCTATGGGATTCTTTCTTGATAAATGCAGTTAGTGAAAAAAGTACCATAATGGTGTTCTATATAAAAAAAGACCCCTGTGTCATTTATTAAAGAAATGGCTATGTCACAACCACTGGCTTCAAATTATTAATGAAACAACTGTCTTTCTTTTTCTTTCTTTCTTTCTGTCTTTCTTTCTTTCTTTCTTTCTTTCTTTCTTTCTTTCTTTCTTTCTTCTCCTTCCTTCCTTCCTTCCTTTTCTTCTTTCTTCTTTCTTTCTTTCTTTCTTTCTTTCTTTCTTTCTTTCTTTCTTTCTTCTCTTTCAGAATTGCCTTTCTTAAGCTTGAAGGAAAACTACACTCTTACACTCTTATTTTAAATAAGTTGCTTCAGTTTTGGCTATAGGTACTTCATTCTTACAGTGTTTCATCAAGGATCTGGTGAGTATATGTCCTTTACAAGTACCAAACTGAGCTAGAACAATGAGATGGCCCACAGAATCTTGAACTGAACTTTTGCTAGCAAAATCAAAATATATATTTCAGTGACTAAATAGCCATTGGCACTGAAGCCTCAGAAATGCTTTAGGGAGTCACGTAAATGTCTATGGAAATGTTCAGCTAAGCTCAGTTGTATTTGATGGACATCTACCCACTAAGTCACAAGGAGAATCCAGAATCCCTGCTCCTAGTTGACTCTGGAACAACCTTTGAAGAGTTTTGTTTTTACTCTTAGGGGTTTGTTGTAATCTGTTTCAAACTCATTCTACTTCAAAATATTGTTCTAACGGTGGTCATAATCCTTAGAGTCTCTTATTTAAAGACAGTTTATAATGTTGCTAAAATTTTGATAAATATGGAGATCCAAAAAGTGTGATAGACTTCCTTTAATGAATAATACTTTTCTGGGAAAGCCAAAGGAAACAGTGATATTTTTTTTTCCCCTCAACTGACTGAATTGAAATTCTACCCATGCTGTGTCAGAGAGATTACTACACAGAGTGATTTCCTTCCAGTCTCTGTTGCTTTGGTTATCCATATTAAAATAACTACACATAGTGAATGTTGGATAGGCCACTAGGAAAAAAAAACTGTAGAATATTTAATTTCTTAACAGTTTAGAAGACAACTGGTAAAATTACTCATGAACATGTAGCAAAGTTCCAATAAGACTTTCTGGAAAATCTTCAATATTCTTTTTACAGAATTATATCAAAGTAGAGCTGACCATTCTAAACTACTGGCTGTGGCCTCCCTAAAATGTGCTATAAAGAAATGAAGTTAAATGGATGTAATTAAGGTATATGACACTAAACTCTTTCTTCTCACAGCTTTTATATAGTGAGTGTTAGAAACTGAAGAATACTAATTGAGATCACTTTTTTTAATGTTTTATAGTGTCCTGATTCAGCATGTAAGCAGGATTTATTAGCCTATCTTCAACGAATTGCCTTGTATTGCCATCAGCTTAATATCTGCAGCAAGGTGAAGGCAGAAGTACAGAATCTGGGAGGAGAGCTCATTGTGTCAGGGGTAAGTCGGGACTTGGGCTTCACAATTAAAGTTCCCACTGTTGTACTTCCAAGGCAAGCATTCTTGGCAACAGTACTGCTAAAAACACCAAACTACAGTGATTCATAGGGAGTTTTTTTTTTTTAATAAATGTTATCACCATTATTCCAGACCTTACAATAACTCACAAAGAGCAATTTGATTTTCCAATTACCCTGTGTTTATACTAGCCTTGTAAAATCTCCATTCTTCACAAGAAAACTAATTTCATAGTCTGGAAACTCATTGCCAAGCTGTGACTATTATAATTATTTGGAGCTTTTGTACATTTACTCATTGTGAGTCTACTTCCTTTGTTAGTCCTAGTAATTTTCACTCTCTGTTCAGGAGCCAGCCTCTCTATGTGTGGATTGTGTTCACATGTTAGAGATGATGAAAACAATAGGAATTCATTCATCAGGTTCCAATGCATACTAGGTTATCAGTAACCCTTGAAAGCCAGAAAGTATTTGAATTTAATACAGGTTGATGTGCTGTTGCCAAAAACTAACATAGTTGTCAAACACTAACAATTATGTATTCTTTGCTTAATCACTCTAGTGTTTCCCTTAGTATCCAGTCCACTTTCATCGAACGTAAAGAAATAAAGTTCAATTAATAGAAGCATTATGATTTCTTGGCAAGATTTCCAAATGTATGTGTTGAGGTTCTTCACCTTGGCTTTTCCTCCCTCAGTCCCTTTCTTTGAATATGAGGTGCCATCTATTGTAAACTATTTGCGAATTCCAAAGCGTGGCTCTGCCACCTTTAGTTCTTTTCCCAGTCAACCATGATGCTACCATTTTAAGTGTGGCATTACCAGGAATATAACATGATCAAAATGGTGAATGCTTTATGAGAATCAGACTACTTGTGAAGCTCAATTCTTTACCAGGGTATTTTCAGAAATGTAGCAGTTTGACCATTTGATAAAAATATGTGGAAAAATCATTCTTGAACCCAAAGGCTTCAGGTTCAATATTATTTGGCTTGCAGAAAACAGCTGGGAAAAGAGCTGATCTGGCTTGCATGGAGATGCCATCTGGAAAGCCTGTTCCATGCAGTCTCACCTAGAGTCCATCCAATAAAATGGCTATTTTGTGCCTCTTCCCAAAGCATAGTCACCTCTTTGCATTTCCAAAATGATTCTGCTTCAACATTCTTCAACAACCAAGAGCAATCTGTCTTGCAATGTGTCCTTTCTGCCGAGTTGGTAATTACCAAGATTCTCTCTGCCAAGAAGTGATCAAAACATTGCATATCCCTTGCTTCCTTTCTTATCTTCAGACTCAATGGTATAGTCTCCCATACCATTCGGCTTTCATGTCCATCTGTTTATAGCACCCGTGGAACTGAGTGCTTTTTGTTTAGCTTGCCTTGTGTGCTTTCATTTGTCACTTTCCAAATCTCTTTACATGGATGCGCACAGCATCTTTGTGGATCTCAGACTCCACAACCTCATCTAGGTGGTATTTGACTGGCAGAATTGCTCCCCATTATCCTCTCAGTACCCATTGTTCATCACTGCTTCCAGAGCCTCATTTCCATTGTCTTTTCCTCATTTAGATGTAGTCCAAACCATCACTGGCTTTTATCACTTGCACTGTTGGCATTTGTAGAGGTGTTTGAGATTGAGAACACCATCAAGAAGCCTGTTTCCTTCTTTGAATCTTACTGGCAAAGTTCATATATCCTTGCATGGGAGAAGGCTTCTTCTAGAGGAATGTTATAAAACTTTACAATAATTCTGAGTCAAATGCATTATAAAAGTTTTGCTATATATTGCTCAGTCATGGACGTGCTCTTGGCCTCCTCATTTTTTCAGAGCTTGATTGCTATTTGGTGCCATTCCTGCATCTGTAGTCTGCTGTCTTTGCCACTTCTGCCTCCATCTTATTCTTCATCCTCCTTCACTAATGGCCAATAGAGAAAAAAAAATCAACGTTTGTTTTGCAAAATAGCCACAAATGACTGCCTTCAAAGTTCTGAAAGAGTCAAGAATGTAAGACCCTATACACACAAACTTTCAATGATTTTGCCAAGAAAATGTGCCCATCCTTTGGGCCCCATTTATTTTGTTGTCTGGCATAACAAAGTTGCTACATTTTTAAGGAAAAACTACAATAACATGCAATCAAAAAAAGAGAAATGCTTGAATCTTCCTTCCTTTTTCCCAATGTGTTTATGTACAAGGGATTCAAAGCTGTGACTTCTTCTCTGAAACCTATGAAAGCCCCCAGGAAGGTATATGTATTAGTAGTCAAAATTTCCCCTGAAACAAGAGATTTGGATAGATTATTTCCATTTTGGCAAGAAAAATGATTGGAATTTCAAAGCTGAGAGTTGTGTTTTTAGAGCCTTGTGCTAGCATGATGAACAAAATGCACGTGTGCACAGTTATATACCATGTCAGCATGTGTATGTTTTATGTGATTCTGTGTGTACAAACTGGGAAAGGCTTTTGTTGTATCTGCCATTGGCTTGAGAGGTGGGGCAGGAAGCTCATCAGGTCATGAGCAGGGGGACAATGGATACAAAATCTCTTGAGTCATGCTGGCAAGTTAGAGAAATAATGCAATCCTGGATATGTGCCTACATGTGCTCATTCACACAACTGCTATCTAAGAAGCACCATTAATTTTCTGGCTGGAGATCTGTTTTTAAAAGTTATTGGCTTAAATCTTTCTCACCAGCCAAAGTGCTGTACTTACTAAATCTTATATAGACGATGCCTTGGTGAGCCAATTCAGCTTAAGCCATCTGTGTGGTTGCTAAGGGGGTCAATGGAAAAGAGAAAATTAAAAATAAACAAACAAACAAACAAACAAAAAACAAAACTAAAAGCTAACAGTGACGGAAATGCTCAGATGAAAGTAGAAGAAACTTAAGTCCAGAAGATTAAATATCCATTAATTTATATACTGGCTTTATTTGCTTAGTGTTTATTTCTTTAATTTCTCAAGTCAGTTTACAGGCTTTTTGGAAAAAGAAATGTTCAAAGAAGAAAAGAAGAAAGAAAGAGAGGGAAGGTGGGACAGTAGGAGGGAAGAGTTGTGAAAGAAGGAAGAAAACAAAGGAAAGAGAAACTTAACTGTAGCATATTGTAAATTATTTTAGTGCAGGTAATATCCATTAAATGTGACAGCATTTATATTCATCATGGCAGAAAGGTTGAGCTATTTTTTTCAAGAATGTAAACATATTTTGAATACAAGTTTGTTCCAGTGCTATGATGTGGATATTACCTGTATATTTGATTGTTGTGTTTTTAATTTTTATATGCTAAGTTTTAGAAGATTTAATGGATTCTCTTAAAATTTATTTTATTATTTTTTAAATAAATTTATTTTTTATTGGTGTTCAATTTACCAACATACAGAATAACACCCAGTGCTCATCCCATCAAGTGCCCCCCTCAGTGCCCATCACCCATTCACCCCCAACCCCCGCCCTCCTCCCCTTCCACCACCCCTAGTTCGTTTCCCAGAGTTAGGAGTCTTTATGTTCTGTCTCCCTTTCTGATATTTCCCACACATTTCTTCTCCCTTCCCTTATATTCCCTTTCACTATTATTTATATTCTCCAAATGAATGACAAAATATAATGTTTGTCCTTCTCTTAAATTTTAAAATGAAGATGTACATATGGATCTGGAGAAATAAACATTTCCATGTAGCCTTTGATTATCTTTAGCTACTCTAACATTTATGCTTCTGAATTTTTCTGAATGAGATTGGAAACACTAATATGGAATTTTAGAATGTAGAGTGCTAAACATCAAGCATTTTCATAAATCTGAAAAATTCTACCTAATTATTTTTAAGAAGTTCCAATACATTAGAACAGTGAAGCCAGAATGCAATAGCAATTAACCCTACCTTGGACAGGAATTCAGTGTTTAGGTCAGAGATAGAAGGACACAGATTGCAAGTTATAGTTGACTCCCCATGAAAATCCCACACATTTTAATAGATTTTGTTGCATATAAGTGTCTTTTTCTCTTAACAAAATTTAGGAGCAGAGTTTGGAGGTGAGGAATGTTAGTTACATCCTCAGCCTGATTGAATGGAGCCCTACTCTATCCCTGGAGGATTGAGTAACCTGCCCTACCTAATGTACAATTTTGTTCTATGCCGTTTAAATCTCTCCTTTTCAAATTTGAATCCCTCTCAAGTGGGTTATGGAGAGAAACTTGACAAAGTGAGCAAATATAATTTGTGACATTGGCAGGATTTGAATTGGTAAAGTGAAAATTGGAGAATAAAGAGGTCAGTTATAGTCTTTATTGCCTATGTTTTGATCATTAAACTTTGGACTCAATTAAAATCAACATGAATATTCATAGTAATAAATGAAACTATTCATACAATATTACGAACTGATAATGGTCAAATCAATCCTACCTGACTATGGCATATCATCAAAGATACATATGTGCATATACACAAACATAAACATGCAGCAAATATACATGATTTGATATTTACTCCTTTACCACCTGTATAAGTAGTAATCAGGAACTGAACAAGTGGTTGACAACTGTGACATATCTGATCCAAGACAATTTAGGGAAAAGAAAATATGGGAATTATTTGTATAATGCTATATTTTAAAATATATATTATGGATTTTATTTTATACATTTATATTACATATTTTTAACTATTTATTTTAAAATGTGATTTATTGAGATGAGAATTGCATTTTATTTGAAAAGTTCTGTATTTATAAAAAATAGTGTCAGTATTTTGTAGTGGGCTGAAGCAGTCATTGAAACAAGCATTGTACTTGTATAGCCTTGTACTTTTGTACAACTTCTACCCTTTTATTGGGAAAGAGTCTTTTTTTAATATATACTCTGATTCTGTCTATTGTTAAATCTTGATTATCTCTACTGATCAGTGTAGTAGTAATGGAAAGAAATCTAAATTATTAGCTATTTCAATTTGGATCTGGAATGCATTTCTATGCTTCATGTGAAC